CTAGAAAATTAAAATCTAGTTGATATGTGGTAGTGCTACATTTAACTTTATGATACATTTAACCTTATATTTTTAAGAGACATAATGATAAAATAATTAAGTAGATTTAATTCTTACCTTACACAATATGCAAAATCACGTTGATTCAATAACTACATAGCATTCGGGCCACTTGTGAGATTCAGCTATATTCTTATTACCAGATTCGTCATCATCGTCATCAGATTCGTCACCTTCATCAGATTCGTCGCCTTCATTACTGTTATTATCTCTATCAGATTCATCATCTGAATTCTCATCATCATCATCATCATAAATCAAATGATTCTCACTTCCAAACAAACAATTAAAAATACCATACTTTTAAATGCTCGGCCGATAATGTCTTCGGAAACATCTTTCCACGTATTCAAAACCCAGTGACACATCATATTCAGATCAGCACGCTTCAAGTTTCTCTTCTTAGTAATACCATTGCCACCGTTTGCCATCTATCTATGCCAATACTTATGAAGTTTATCCTTAAATGGCTTGTTAATACAGACATCAAGAGGTTGACACATGCTTATAAGACCCCGAGAATAACAGCCAAGTTAGTATTTCCTGAGCGCAACTCACCTTTAGCTCGATCTGTGATATGTGCTGAAAAAGAATCAAAAACAAGCATTGTTCTTGAATTATGTGATCCTGGTCGCATATTATTCTAATACGTTGTCTATTTACTCATTCCTAACTCATCCATCCATCCTTTTTCTTGGAACCAAACTACTACACCAGCTGAAGGTGGTGAGGTGGTACTGGGCCAAGTCTTTCCTTTAAAGATAATAACAGGGGGGAGCTTCCTACTGTCTGCAAAACATGTCAAGACAATGGTAAATCTATTTTTATCATTCCCAGTTGTTCGAACATGGACTGTTTTTGCACCCTTTGGATTCACGGTTAAGCCACCCACCATATCGAACCAAACTAATTACGTACATACAGGAAATCTAAAAACCTCATAGAAGTTTCAGCTGTATGCATAAAACAGCTTCTATTAA